GTGTGTGTGTGTGTGTGTGTGTGTGTGTGTGTGTGTGTGTGTGTGTGAGCTGTTAGAATAGCACTTGAAGTTGGAGCCTGATAATATTTTAAAGTCTAAAGCAATGAATTATGACTCATATGTCAAAAGGGAGATAAAATACTCAATCCAAAATAGAATCCAAAAATAGTAAAGAGAGCAAATGGAAAACAGATAACAAGGGGGTAGATTTAAGTCCAACTATGGTTGTGTTTATATTAAATGTAAGGTTTAAAGCCTCCAATTAAGGGCTGGTAATATAACTCAGTTGATAGAGTGCTTGCTAGTGTGCACAAAGCCCTGCTTCTGGACTTCAGCACCACACAAACTGGGTAGAGGCGTATGCCTGTAACCTCAGCACACAGGAGGTGAATACAGTATCAAAAAGCCAAGGTCATCCTTGGCTGTATAGTTTGAGGCTCATCTAGGCTACATGAAATCTTCCCTCAAAGAGGTCTGGATCTGGAGGGATGGCTCCGCAGTGAGGAGCACTGGCAGCTCTCCCAGGGCCTGGGTTTGATTCCACAACTGTAACTGCAGTTCCATGGGGTTTGACATGCTCTTCTGGCCTTTGTGAGCACTGCATTCATGTGCTACACAAGTGTGCATGCAGACAAAACTCCCAAACAAATAAAATCAAAATAGTGATAAAAAGTAAAACGCCAGCTGGGAGGGAGTGGTGCATACTTTTAATCACAGCTCTCAGGAGGCAGAAGCAGGCAATTCTCAGAATTCAAGGCCAGCCTGGTCTACAGAGCAAGTTCCACAACAGCCAGGGTTCTCTCCAGACACTCTGTTCTTCACAATGTATATGAAGCAGCTCAAAGATTCTCTGATCCTGAACAGTGAGTGTGGCCTGCTGAGATTGTGAGGGAGACGTCAAGAGTTCAGCCTCCCTTGTTCTGTGACTTTCCAAAACATTCCAGTCTGTAGTAAACAAGGAACATCTGCCTCCAAGTGTCAAATACTGATATATAGTAGGAAGCCCTAATTGAGGCATAAGTATAAGAAAGCAAAAGTCCAGAGGGGGAGTGTTTCTTTCTTGGGCCTTTGTCTTGGTTGAAGAATAGGATTGGATAGAGTGAGAGGAAATTTCTCAATTACTTTCTAGAAAATAGTCCTTTGTAGTTGCATTCAAGCATGCAACACCTTGTATTGAAAACCGTAGGTTTTAATTGCCTCCCATAGTAAAATATGGTAAAACTTGAAATAGATGCTGAATCTGGGTACTCATCTTCGTACCTCCAGAACCTAGCATTGTGTTTCTCCTCAAATCTATGATTAGATGAATAAGGAATCAAAATCGTCCCAGTATTCTATGTGTAGCCCACATTCATTAACCCCCTGCAGAAATCTGAGGATCCTGGTAGAGTTCTGGCTCATCATACCAGAAAAAGTGTGGTGTGGAAAAAGCTAAACATGCAATTGTCTAACATGTATATTCCTAGGAGTGTGAACCAGGCCAGTATGTAAGTTTGTTTTAAACAAGTGAGTATATAGCTGTAAGAAAATTCTAAGTTTTCTTTAGCAGCTATACATATTTCTATATGGACCTTTGGGTCTGCCTCTAATAACCTCACACCAGGAGCATCCAAGCACCACTGTCTTCAGAGATACCTCTTATTTCATCAACTGGAAGAAACACAATTTGTTTATGGTGCCCAGTTCGGACCTCAGTTTGGATACACGTATGTATCTATATTTTGAAGCAAAATTTAGAAATCTGAAGAATTAGAGAAATGAGTAGAAATAACAGATGTATGTAAAAAAACAACAACAACAACAAAAAAAAAACAGATCCAGTAATATGATGTTGGCCTGGCAAGAGGATGGGATCTGACCACATCTGAGATGCCATTTAAAACAAGCAGTGTGTCCTGCAGCAAAGCTCAGTCAGAGCCTGCTTTGCCATTTCAGCCTGACCCTGGCTTTCTCACTTCCACTGCTGCCTCTATTTCTCAAGCTTTTCATAGGGACTTTCTTGGAAGGTTTCTGTCACACTTCTATTTGTCAGTCTGGGAGCTTTAGAACAGTAGATGAGGGAGCAGCCGCTCTTCTGTACCATGGAAAGGACATGATTCCTATTGAAATAAGTGTTAGCACACAAAAAACTACTTAGAAGAAATTAAAGGCAACACAATGCAGCTCAAGTAGCGTAAACCTGGAAAGCTGGTTGTGGTACTCATATAGGGTCTAACCATGTTAATTTTGGGTAAGCTGCACTAAAAGTTGAAAGGTTGGGACTGGCGAGCTGCCTCAGAGGGTAAACACAGCTGCTACCAAGTCTGATGACCTGAGCTTTATCCCTAGGATCCACACTGTAGATCTAAGGAGAGATCTCACTCTTGCAAGCTGTCCTCTGACTCCTACACATGCACCATGGCACATGGCTGCACATACACAGCAATTGATTACCATACTTACTAGAAATTGAGTGGCTAATGACTGTACCAATATATACGACTGAGGAGCAGGACTGCAACCATGGCTAAGATCTTGGAGGTTTACAGTTCTGAGCTTGACTCTAGGAGCCCTATAGAAAACGGCCAGTAGAGAAAGGGATGTTCTAGGATTTTCACTAGTATGAAAAGATTGCTGCATCTTGCAATAAGGCAGCATCTCTAGGGTACTTTAAGAAATCAGCCTTTAGGAAAGGCTTTTATTCTCTTTTTTTTGGGGGGGGGGTATGTTACCAGCTATATTTTGAGTATGTCTTCTCATTGCATGTAATTTAATCTAAGTAATCCCTCACATACATTTCCACACATTTGTTTCCATGTTGATTATAAATCCCATCATTTATAATATAATTGTATCAGCGATTATATGCAGAACTTTTTTTTTCAAAATTTTTTATTAATTACACTTTATTCACTTTGTATCCCCCCATAAGCCCCTCCCTCCCCCCCTGATCCCGACCTTCCCCCCTTCTTCACGCATGCTCCTCCCCAAGTCCACTGATAGGGGAGGTCCTCCTCTCCTTCCTTCTGATCTTAGTCTATCAGATCTCATCAGGAGTGGCTGCATTGTCATCTTCTGTGGTCTGGTAAGGCTGCTCCCTCCTCAGGGGGAGGTGATCAAAGATCGGGCCAATCAGATAATGTCAGAGGCAGTCCCTCATCCCATTACTATGGAACCTACTTGGACACTAAACTGCCATGGGCTACATCTGTGCAGGGGTTCTAGGTTATCTCCATGCATGGTATTTGGTTGGAGTATGAGTCTCTGGGAAGACTCCTGCGTTCAAATTTCTGGTTCTGTTGCTCTCCTTGTGGAGTTCCTGTCCTCTCCAGATCTTACTATTTCCCACTTCTTATATAAGATTCCATGCACATTGCCCGACAGTTGGCCATAAGTCTCAGCATCTGCTTTGATAGTCTGCAGGGCAGAGCCTTTCAGAGGCCCTCCGTGGCAGGTTTCTAGCTTGTTTCCTGTTTTCTTATTCTTCTGGTGTCCTTCCTCTTTGCCTTTCAGGATGGGGATTGAGTATTTTAGTCAGGGTCCTCTCTCTTGATTAGTTTCTTTAGATGTACAGATTTTAGTAGGTTTATCCTATATTACATGTCTATATGAGTGAGTACATACTGTGTGTGTCTTTCTGCTTCTGGGACAGCTCACTCAGGATGATCCTTTCCAGGTCCCACCATTTACCTGCAAATTTCATGATTTCCTTATTTTTCATTGCTGAGTAATATTCCATTGTGTAGATGTACCACAATTTCTGCATCCATTCTTCAGTTGAGGGGCATCTGGGCTGTTTCCAGCTTCTGGCTATTACAAATAAAGCTGCTACAAACATGGTTGAGCAATTGTCTTTATTGTGTATTCTTAAGAACAGTTTTCCAGAAAATAGGATGAGAGGAAGCAGCCTTGGGCAGTCTCTGGAAACAATTTTGAGACTAAATTATTTTCAGTATTACCTCGAGATATCGTGGGTCATGAATAAAGGGATGCCATGCTGGATTTTTTTTTTAATTGAGATTGACTCTCATTGTAGCCTAGGTTGGCCTCCAACTTGAAATGAAGCCAGGAATGACCTTGAATTTCTAATCCTTCTGCTTCTGTTTTTTTTTAAGTGCTGGGTTACAGGCATGCATCACTATGCCTGATTTCTGCAGTGCTGAGGACTGAACCCAGAATTCCATGTATGCTACCAACACCCTATCAACTGAACTACTGAGCTACATTCCCAATCCTCATTATCCATTTTCACTGTCTTTTTCTTCTCTCTCTCCCTTATTTTCATTTTTTGAGTCAGGCTTTCTCTGTGTATCCCTGGCTGTTCTGGAACTCACTCTGTAGACCAGGTTGGCCTCAAAGTCAGAGATCAGCCTACCTTTGCCTCCCAAAGTGATTGCTGGGATTAAAGGCCTGTGGCACCGTCGCCACCATCACCACTAGGCACCCCTTTCACTTTTATTCTCAGACTCTTTTGGTTTCCATTGTTTCTACAGCTCACTGTGTCTGATTTTTGCTCAGTTAATTTTGTAAATGAATAATACACCCTCATTTCTCTCATTCATGTATTATTTTGCTTTTTAAGACAGGGTCTCGCGCTGTCAAATGTGTAGCCTAGGCTGTCCTCAGCTTGCTGTAATCCCCCTTGTACTAGTACTTGGTTTCCCAAGTACAAGGATTATAAGAACATGCTACCATACCATGCTTCCTCCTTCATTTTCTTAAAGGACAGAACTAGGACCCATAGGGGGATGCTCTTCTGCATGCATGCGGGTGTGGGACTACCCTTACAGAACTTTAAAGGGTGCAGCTAGTACTTAGGAGCACAGATTTGAAATTGGCAAGGTCTACACTCAGTTTTACCATTTACAGGCTCATGCTGACAAGGCATTCAACCAGACTTGCCTTTTTTCTTATTTGTAAAAAGTAAGAATAGATCTTACTAAAGAGGGTTATGAAGTCTAAATCTTGAGATAGGACATACAAGGAATTTAACATGGTACCTGGCACGTAGCACAAGTTACCTGGAGTATCATTACTCAAGTTTGAATCTGTCCTCTGCCTCTTACTAGCCAGAGCTGCCTTGGGTGCACATGAGGCCAGGTGTGGTGGCGAATGCCTTTGAGCCAATACTTGGGAGGCAGAGGTAGGTGAATTCTGTGAGTTCAAAGCCAGCTTGGTTTACATATTAAGTTTTAGGCCAGCCAGGGAGGGCTACATAGTGAGACCCTTTCTCAAGGAAACAAAAAAGTTACACAACAAATAAATGAATTTATTGTGTAATGCTTCCATAGTAAATGCACAAGAGTGTTATTTCCTTTGCCTGGCTATTTTGATATTCTTCATGTAATTCATTGTTATTTGTTTCCATTGTGTGGATAGAAAAAACGAATTCAAGAGTGGAATTGAATGTTTTATTTTAAACCTTGTAGTTCCTTCTTGGTCAGGATATAGGTTCTTGGGTCACTTCCTGTGTAGGGGGCTTACCTTACAAATTTGTCTTTTTTTCTCTCTCTCTTCCTTAGATTTGGTGCTTCCAGATGTGAGTTATCAAGTGGAGTCCTCTGAGAGAAGTCAGTCTCAGGATATGGACCCACAGGGACTAACTCTGCTACTTTTCCTATTTGTGGATTTCCACAGTGGATTGTCAATACAGCAAGTGGAAATCTTGGGTATGTATAGAAAAATGCAGCAGCTAGGTTGGGTATGCCAAGTACTAAGTGGATAAAGAAAGAAAGGGCTATATAAATGGTGTATACATCTGTCTAAAGTGGATATTTGTGTAATGTGTAAGGACTTATCACTGCCTTTCTAGGTGGGGTCAAGGAGAGAATCCTATCTTTGTGCTGCTACAGTTAGGGGCGCTTTGGTGTGCATCTGTTGGGTACACAGTAACCTCTTATTAGAAGGGTTCTCACAGCTTGTGGGCCACAGAGCACAAATAGCTGAATCACCTGTGTCATATGAAATATGCAGCTTCCTGGGTCCAGATTAATTAATTAATTTTGCTATATTGTAAAAATCTAGAATGCTTGAAACATGCATTTTCACCAGATTCTCAAATGATCACATGTAGTAAACTTTAGAAGCCATTGAGTGTGAATTTTAATCCTAGCACATGCTTTAATCCAATGAGCCCTAGGAAGGGAATTTTAAGAGCTGATCAATAAAGTCCTAAACTGAGGAAGGTTACAAGAAATGGAGCCTAGACATGCTTGAGGGAAGCCCTGTAAGCCTCCTTTTGGGTGTTTCTTTCTCCATGAGCTATGGCAGCCTCTGCCATTGTTGTGTTCTTCACAATGTGGAGTTGGTTCCTACTGCATCATGGGTGAAACAAGACTACTTATAACCCCAGAGCGGAAGCTCTGTCAGTGACTGGTGCCTGTTATTTGTGGAAGTCAATGATGGATCCTTCCTGTCACCTGCCTTCCAAGCCTCTTGCTCCTTTCCTAGAGTATGCATAACCTGGGAAAGAAACACTGCTTTCCTGGGCTCAGGCTTTCAACTCTGAGAAGCTGGTGTTCTTTGATGGCCCTAGTCCATTAAGGCCAAGAGAACAGGAAATAAAAGAGATTTGGGTTATGAAGTTCAAGTGAGGAGAGTTTGGTGAGGATCCTAGGGCATGTACTAACAAAGATAGACTGATGAGGAGGGCAGTGGAGAGGACTTCAGGGTAGGATTAAAATAGCTGGCTTTCCTTTCAGCTCTGATTCCAGCTTCCTCAGTGATGTTTGAAAATCAAGTCACATAAACCATCTGAGCCTCCCTTTCAATCTTTAACATGAGTTGTTAAACTGGGTAATATCAAAGGCCCTTCAGAGGCTAAATGCTCTCCTGAGACTTAAGATCTGTTATTTCCTGGTATTTTTAAAATGCTTGCCAGAGGATAACCCTAGGATAATTTGAGTTTGACACTGAGTACTATTGAACATACCCAAAGAACTCAGATAACTTGAAAACAGTGTTACCTATCATTTTTGTTGTACCGAGATAATTTATACACTTCTCTTTACCACATCTCTGAAGGCCTGCAGCTTTGTTTGTTTTTTAGATTTAAAAATTCGCTGCTAAGAAACAATAATAAATAAAAATCCAGGTGTGGTGGCGCGCGTGCTAGTTTTTGTTGCTGGTTGATTGGTTGTCTTTGGGGAATGGGATTGTTTTATTTTTGTTGTTTTAAGACAGGGTTTCTCTGTGTAGCCCTGGCTGTCCTGGAACTCACTCAGTAGCCCTGCCTGTCCTGGAACTCAGAGATGCACCTGCCTCTGCCTCCCAAGTGCTTGGGAAAGGTGTACATCACCACTGCCCAACATGGCACATGCCTTTGTTTGTTTGGTTGGTTGGTTTTTTGAGACAGGGTTTCTCTGTTTCTCAGGGTTTACTGTCCTGGACTGGGTTTTGTAGACCAGGCTGGCCTCGAACTCAGAGATCTGCCTGCCTCTGCCTTCCTGAGTGCTGGAATTAAAGGCATGCACCATCACACCCGGCTATGGCACATTCTTCTAATCCCAACATTTGGGAGAGAGAGGCAGGCAGATCACTTTGAGTTTGAGACCATCCTGGTCTACACAGCCAGTTCCAGGCTGTCCTGAGCTACATAGTGAGACCCTGTCTCAAAACAAAAATCACTGCCAGGGCTGAAGAGATAGCTCTGTGGTTAAGAGCAAGAGGATCAGAGTTCAGTTCCCAGCACCTATGTAAAGTGGCTTACAGCTATTTATGTCTCAAGTTCCAGGGAGGGGATCTAATGCCATCTTCTGGCCTCTGTGGGCACCTGGAGGCATGCATACATACAGATAAACATACATACAGATAAACACACATAATGTTTTTTAATCATTAAAAAATAATAAAAATTTTAAAGCAACCACACTGCTGCATAGTATGTAAAGCAGGTGTCCTAAAGTCCTCTGTGGATTAGGATAGCCTCTGAAGGACTCATAGCGAGGGTCAGCAAAGGCAAGTCTGACTTGTCTTTCCCCATCCTTCCTCACCTCCTCGAACGCCTTCTTCTTCAGAGCTCCTTGCTTTAGGAAGCAGATTGTACAGAATTAGTTTGTGTTCATGTGTCTCAAAAAAAAAAAAAAAATCAGTCGCTGGCCTCCCACCACCTTGTCATGGTAACTTTCTATGATTAACTCCTTATTTTGCTGCAGCACCAAAAGCATCTGGTGGTAGGAGCAGTTTTAGGAATAACTTTTTTTTTTAATTAAATGTCTGCTCTCAAAAACTTCTCATTTCTTATACACATGGGGGCCAATGTGTATAAAATAGAATCTGCGTGCTCCATCACCATGGCAACAGCAATATTTCCCCTTTGAACATTGCATGTGTGTTTCAAAATACTTCACTTTACATGATCCCAGTTTATCTAGACAACATATCTAAGAAAACAGATAAGAAAAGCTATTTTCTGCACTGAAGTGAGAATAGTGTAGTTACCACATCAACATCGATTAGTGATAAAAATGACCTTTAATCTATGTTCTCTAACTTCTAGTTCCAGATTCCTTTTAAGTCCATATGTAGCTTTCTCTCCCTGGAGAGCTTCGTGGTGCCCTGTTCCTTATGTGCCTAACTGTTCCTTATACTTCCACTTTTTAAAAGAGTGTGTGTGTGCTATGTATGAATGAGTTTTGCCTGTATATACACATACATATGTATGTATGTATGTATGTATGTATGTATGTATGTATGTATGTATGTATGTATGTATGTATGTATGTATCAGGTATGTGCTTAACATCTTCAGGCCAGAGGCCCAGAATGGGAGTCATATCCACTGGAACTGGAGTTATAGACTGTGAGTTGCTGAGTGGGCGCTGAGAATTGAACCTGGTCCTCTGCAAGAGCAAGTGCTCTTTACCATTGAGCCACATCTCCAGCCCCATATGTCAGTTGCTGAGTAATGCTAGCAGAAGTGACAATGGCTACTTCATCTGAGGTCACCCAGAGTTTGCTTATTTTTATTCTATTTTGAGACAGGATCTCCTATGTCCCCAGACAGCCTCAAATACACTGTACAGCTGGGGGTGCCCTTGGCCTCCTTATACTCCTGCCTCAATCTCCCAAGTGCTAGATTACAGGTGTGTACCATATGACCAGTTCATGTAATGCTGGAGATCAAACCCAGAGCTACTTACATGCTAGGCAAGCACTGTACCAGCTGAACAACATCCTCAACCCCATTTTAGACAGTCTTGCATGAACAATTCCAGAGTCATTTTTGTAAGTTTTAGCCTTTTCTTTACCACAGCACATGAGAAGGAAATGGCAGGCTGCTGACAGGCTCACCAACAGTGGTGTGCAGCTAGGAATAGAAGAGGGTTAGACCCTGCTAAGAGGCTTCCTTCTCCTCTGGGAGATAGCACTGTCTTGTTCATAGCATGAATCAAGCATGTATTTCTTCAAAAGCAATGTAACTCACTTTACTTTTCCTAAGCTTGCTTTTGTTTGCAAATGGGAATCAAGAGGGGCTGTCTCTAAAATTAGTTAGTTCTGGAGAGCTGATAGAGTAGCTTTTTCCAAGAGGCGTTCTTCTCAGCCCCAGTCCTGACACCGCATGCAAACAGTGGCCGTCCTCATGCGTGGGCTCCAACATTCTCGTCCTCTTAGGACTCCATACTTTGCTCACTGCTCATCTCAGCGCCATCCTCTCGGAGAGCCGCAGCACAGTGCAAGATTCCATGCAGTCAGCGGTGGACCAGGTCTTGGAGCCACATCAGCAGGCTGCCAAGGTAATAAGAAATCAACAATCTGGGAGTGGATAACTAGGGCCTTGGGTCCTCCTTCCCTTGATGCATCTCCCTGTTCTGCCGCCTGTGGTGAGGTCCTAACACTGCATCTGGACAGGGAGTTAAACTTTCATTTAGGCCATAGCAGCCAGTTTGTGCTTGAATAGAAACAGCAATAACAACAACAACAACAACAAAAACAAAACAAAAAAAAAAAACATGGTGGTTATACTGCTTCCTTTTTGTTGTTTTGTTTTTCAAGACAGGGTTTCTTTGAGCAGCCCTGGCTGTCCTAGAACTCCCTCTGTAATCCAGGCTGGCCTTGAATTCAGAACCTCTACCTCCCAAGTGCTGGGATTAAAGGCATGTGCCACCACACCTGGCCATATCTCTCCCCTACTGTGCATCTTGATCCCACATGTTCTCTGGAGCTGATGCTTCAGTAAACATTACCCTCTTCCCTCACTTTCCCAGTTATTCTATAATGTCACACTTGCTTCTACCCAGACTGAAATCTTTCACTCTGTGCACTTTTGATGATAAATATCCTATTTCTTATGCCCTACCCCTTGTAGAGAAAACAGCCAACTGAAGAACAAAACTTTAAAAAAAGTAATATTAGGTTGAACCGGATCTGATAGTTTCTGTGCATGGTCACAGTATTTGGAAAGTTGAAGCAGGATTACTAAAAGCTCAAGGTCAGCCTGAGTTACAGAATGAGTTTCAGGAAATTCAAGGTTATAGTGTGAGACTCTGCCACAAAATAGGGACCAGTGAAATGACTCAGCGGGCAACGCACTTGCAGCACAAGCCTGACCAGCTAAATTTGATCTCAGGAACCCACAGAAAGGTGGAGTGAGAGAACCAACTCAATGAGGTTGTCCTCACACAGTCACTGTGACACGTGCAAACCCACACATACCAGACACTCAAACAATAGCAAGTTTAAAACAAAAAAATTTCAATAGCTGTCTTTTAACTTATTTTTAGAGCTAAAGAGATGGCTCAGTAGTCAAGAGCACTGGCTGCTCTTCCAGAAGACCTGGTTTGATTCCCAGCACCCACATGGCAGCTCACAGCTCCAGTTCCAGGGGATATGATGCCCTCTTCTGGCCTCTGCTGGCATGCATGTGGTACACAAATATTCATGTAAAAACACCCATATACATATTTTTGGTTTATTTATAAAAATAAATCAAAGCCTGATGTAATGACACACACCTTTAATGCCAGCCCTCAGGAGTGGAGGCAAGTGAATCTCTGAAGTAAAAGGCAGCCTAGACTACACAGTGAGATCCTGTCTCAATACACAAAAACATACAAACAAAATAAATGTATTTGTAATTATGTGCTTGTGTGTGCCGGTACTCATAGAGGTCACAGGAACTTGGTGGCAGTGAGCTGCCTGACATAGGTGCTGGGAACTGACCCCCTGTAAGAGCAGTTCATGTTCATAACTGTTGCGCCATCTCTCCAGTGCTAAGTCTCTGTTTTATTGTCTTATTTGTTTGGGAAACAAGGACTCATACAGCCTAGGCTAGCTTCAGACTTAGTGGAAAATGAATGACCTCCTTTCTGATCTTCCTGCTTCTACCCCCAGAGTGCTGGGATTACAGTTGTGTGCTGCCACACCTGCTTTATTCTGTGCCGGGATTGAGCCCAGGGTCTCAGGCATGCTAGGCAAGCTGTCAACTCAGCTACATTCCCTAGGTCTTACCCAGTGTCTTACTGTCTTTTCTTAATCCGCCTATGTTGTTTTGCCATCTCTGTGGAAGAAGAGAATGTTTTGAGTCGTAAAAGTCCTTTCACCACCTTATTAAGTATTGGTTGTGGAACTGTCAGTGCTCTGCCTTGACTAGAATATTTGCTCTTCGGCTTTCTCAGAGCCAGCACTTTATGACTAATACGGTTTCATCCTTGCTCCAGGCTCATCAGAGACTGCAGGCCTCCCTCTCTGTGGCTGTGAATTCCATCATGAGTGTGCTGACTGGAAGCACCTGCAGCAGCTTCAGGAAGACTTGCCTCCAGGCTCTTGAGGTTAGCAGATGGGGGTGGGACCAACAGACCAAGATGAGTGACACTGCAACAGGCCTTGCAACATAACATGTACAGTGCTGAAACGCTTCTAGGGTGACCCTAACCTAGTACCAGGTTTCAGTGTCTTCAGAAGAATTTGTTGGGGCTAGAAAGAGGGCTCGGCAGTTAAAAGCTGCTCTACCAGAAGACCTGGGTTCAATGCCCAGCTCCACATGGCTGCTCATCACCATCTGTAGCTCCGGTTCCAGGGCTTCTGACACCCTCTTCTGGCCTCTGTGGGCACCAGGCATGCGCGTGGTGCACAGACATAGATGCAGGCAAAACACTCATACACATTTTAAAGTAATAATTAAGCTGGGTGCGGTGGTGCAGGCCTTTAATCCCAGAACTCAGGAGTCAGAGGCAGATGGATCTCTTGAATTTGAAGCCAGCTTGGTCTTTGGAGTGAGCTCCAGCACAGCTAGAGCTACACAGAGAAACCTTGTTGAGAGAGAAAGAGAGAGAGAGAGAATAAGTTTTGTTGAATAGCTTTTTGTTGAATACACCATTTTTATAAATGAGAAGTTATTTAAGAAATACTTTCTTTAGATTACCAAACTAGCTGAGAGAGAGTTAGAATTAAATCCTTGATTCCTAGTTCCTTGTTAAAGAATGCCTCACTCCCCCATGGTGACAATACTCTAGAACTGAGCAGACACAGCACTGTGTATATGTGACAGAATGGAGTGAGTGACATAAATTGGAATCAGAGTTTGGGGATAAGTCAGTTCTTGACTTGTTTACTTGCTACATGGAATTAGGCCTATATTTAACTTCTCTAAAATTTGTTTTAAAGTTGAGGGAAAATATGAGCCCCTCATAGGTTGGGGTCTAAATGTATGCTACAGTCTGAATGTTTATATCATTCCAAACCTCTTAAGTTGAAACCCTACCCCTCAATGTGGTGTTCCTGGCAGTCATACCCAGCTCAAGATATTTTTAAGTTTTTGGAGATGTCAAGATATATCAGGTAAAGGCATTTGCTGCCAAGCCTGATTGTACCTGAGTTTGATCCCTGGAATCCATAAAATTGAAGAAAACAACTCCTAGGAGTTGTTCATTCTCTCTCTCTCTCTCTCTCTCTCTCTCTCTCTCTCTCTCTCTCACACACACACACACACACACACACAAACAGTTTTTTTTGTTTTTGAAACAGGGTCTCTTTATGTAGTCCTGGCTGTTGTGGAATTCATTATGTAGTCCAGGCTGGCCTTGAACTCAGATATTTTCCTGTCTCTGCCTCACAAGTGCTAGGATGAAAGGTGTGAGCCCCAAAGGAAACTCTTTATATATATATATATAACTTGAATTTATTTTTTTTATAATTTATTCACTTTACATCCTCATTGTAGCCCCCTCCCTCGTCTCCTCCTGGTCCCATCCTCCCTCCTTCTTCCTCACTATCTCCCTTCCCTAGTCAGAAAGGGAGAGTCCTCCTCCCCTACCATCTGACCCCAGCCTATCAATTCTCATTAGGACTGCCTGCATCCTTTTCCTCTGTGGCCTGACAAGCCCTCCCCACCAGGGGGAAGTGATCAAAGAACAGGGAAGAGAATCCATGTCAAAGACAGCCCCTGCTCCCCTTACTAGGAAACCCACATGGAGAGTGAGCTGCCTATGGGCTAGGTCTATGTCCTCTCCATGCATGGTTTTTTGGTGGAGCATCGGTCTCTGCAGGCCTCCCTGTGCCCATATTTGTTGGCTCTGTTGATCTTCTTATGGCGCTCCTCTTCCCCCGGGTCTTTCTATTTCCCCAATATTTCCGACTACTCTCTGTGCTCTGCCCGAAGTTTGGGTGATAATCTTAGCATCTGTTTTGATCCCCTATGGGTGAAGTCTTTCAGAGGACATTTATAGTAGGTTCCCATTAAAGGAAACTTTTAAAAGAATTTTAGGTTGTTCTCTCTAATTGGCTGTTTAGATCTTTGAGAGATGATCATAAGAATGGAACTGTAATAGGACCTCAGTCCTTAGTATGCCCTAAGACCTTAACACAACTGACTCCATGATGGGAGTACCATTCAGGCTGTAAAACTCAACACATAGATGGCACCACCTGCCAAAACTAAAACAAATACCTAATCCATCAAAAACTATAGTTCTAGGAAAGTCTCTAAATATACTAACCTTGCATTTTGGCTTCTGTAGTTCTGCTTCTGGCTAACTGTTCTTGTTAGCCAAAGTATTTCAAATTTATGTTCGCCCAGAGAAAGTCTTGGTGCTATAGTGGGATCCTGAACACTCAGTGTAGTTGCCAGCTTGCTAATAAAGACTTCCTGTTGGCTTAAACCCATACCTGAGCAGTCTTCTCTGGTGAATACCCTGCAACAGGATTAGTTCTTAATCAAATGGCCTCAGGAGCTGGTGAGAGGACAGTGGTAGGCCTGAGAATCTGACTTCAGTCATTGGGAGCTATATGATGGAGAGACCTGATTCCCACAGACTGTACTCTGTCCTCCACAGAGTTCACCCACTAAATTAAAAAATAAAAATAGTGCCTTCAGATAAACCCTTGGCCCTTCCGCAATGTGAGGATGCAGGAAGACACTGGAAAAGACCCTGAAGAGGGCTCTTACCAGAACCTCGCTGTGCTGCCTCCTGATCTTGGTTTCTAGAGTTGCGGCATTAACACAGTCTGACAGAGCAACTTAAGGGAGAAGGGTTATTTCAGCTCAATCCATTGTGGATGTCAGGACAGCAAGAGCTTGAGTTGATCACATTACATTTATAGTCTTTAACAGAATGTGGTGGCCAGTGTTTTGTCAACTTGACAGAAGGTAAAGACACGGGAGAGGAGGGAACCATTGAGAAGGGAGGGATCATTGAGAAAATGATCGGCTCAGCAGGCCAGCCTGTGGGACATTTCTTGATTAATGATTGATGTGCTAGGACGGTGCTGTCCTGGACAGATGGCCCTGGAGTATCTAAGAGAGCAGACTGAGCAGGCCACGGAAAGCCAGGGAGCCATGTTCCTTCTGCTTCAGGTTCTGCCTTCAGATTCCTGCCTTACACTGCTCTTACACTGGCTTCCCTTGGGGGTAGACCGTTACCCGAGAGGTGTAGAATTAAATCAACTCTTTCCTCCTTACGTTGCTTTAGATCCTGGGGTTTTCCCACAGAAACAGAAACTTTAAGACACAGAGCATTGAATGCATGTGTGCAGGCCAGTGCTCTCGACTGTCCATCTTATACAGTTCATGACCTTCTGCCAAGAGAACAGAGGGGTCTTCCCACATCAGTTCCTGTAATCAACATCACCCTCCACTAGTGTGTTCAGAGGCCTTTCTTCCAGGTGATTCTAAATTGTGTCAAGGTGACAATCACCATTAACCATCTTGCCTCAGACATCCAAAACTGTGATTATCAGGGTTGTGGCATTTATAACCCCTTAGTCTGTGAAAATTTTGTTGTAGTGGCTGAAGAAACTGAGACTGTGAAAACAGGTTTCACATGATGGGTTCTCGGTACATGCTAGTCCCCGTCTTCCTTTTGGATTAGTGAGCAGCCAGGATCGCCAGAAGATCACAGACTCCCTATTTGTTGCTGCTGCCCCCTCTAAGACAAGTTTTGGCTGTGTAGGGGAAGCTGAACTCACAGAGCTCTATCTGCCTCTGCTTCCAATGCTTGGCTGTTACTTTTTCTTTATGTACTTTTTCCTTAAAAGATAATACAACCCATAGAAAAATGTAAATACTACTTTCTATTACTATAATTTTGATTTTTCACATCTCATATTGTATAGTTGGAACCAAGGGATTATATTTTTGTATATAAAATGGCATTTTACCAATTTCAACATGGTTAGAATGCTTTTATTAATAAATAGTGTACTTTATTACTTAATCTAATTTGATGATTCTTCTAACGTTAGGCATTTAAGTTGGTAACTTTTATTGCTGTATATAAATAGTGCTTCACTTAATACTTATGTGCTGTCTTGTTTTATCTAAAATTGCTGTCTATAATGAAGCTCTTTGAGCTAATGGCACAAAGAATAATAGCTTTCTAAGCAAGAGCCTTTTAGTTGTAGCTTCACCTATGGGCACGTGGGTGACTGGAGTAGGAAGGAGTGGCCCTGACTCTCGTCCTACCTGATCTTGACTAAGTTACTTCTTTTTGAATTTCAATTTCTCATCCATAAAATTAACATTTTAGGAGCTGGAGAAGTGGCTCAGCTGTTATAAGAGCACTTGCTGTTCTTCCAGAGGACTCAAGTTTAGTTCCAAGTACTCACATCAGGTGGCTCACAACCAGCTCCAGAAGGTTTGATGCCTCTTCTAGCCTCTGTAGGAATCTGCACACCTATGGCTTACAAACATGCAAACACACACCTAACGATTATTTTAATTAGCATATAATTTTAGCTGGTTCCTCATGTACTTTAACTGATACCACAGTTCTGTACTAAAGCATTAAAGCTAAGCCCATTTGCCCTAGATGCAGACTGCATTCTCTGGTTCTCTTCTCTCCAAAAGGCTTGAGAAGATTCCCCACCTTCTTCTCAGCCTCACTGGTTCAGAGGAATCATGGCTTTCTTGCTCATCTTATGGAAGAGAATCTTCCACAGCCAAGGCATGAGACAGAGGGATCTGTGTGATGATTATCTGCTGTAGACAAAGATCTTGGTAGAAGGACCTTGCTAAGGTGGAAAGACTATGGCAGTCACATAACAATTACCCTAGTCCCTCCCTGCCTTTGAAGCTCCCGGCAGAGACAGACCTGTGGCACAGTGGGGAATGCCAGCTTCTCACCCCTACAGCATTTCCCCTTTGGTTTCCAGGGGTTAGTTCAGTAACTCCTGTTTCTCACCTGTTGCAGGCAGCTGACACCCAGGAATTTGGCTCCAAACTGCACAGAATATTTTGTGATATCACCCAGCATAGGTTTCTGCACCACTGCTCATGTGACACAGAGCAGGTAAGTGTAATGATCACACTCAGTATTTAGTAGAAACCTCCCACTTTGACGTAGGAGCTCTTAATTCAGGGTAGATGAGGACAAATGCTTCAGATCAGATGGCTGGCCTTCCAGCAAGGATGCCTGTGCTAGAGAAACACCAAGGAACCAAGTGCTTTGTAGAAGCCAAGAGCATGGCAAGACACTGAGTTCCATTTCTACCACTGAGTCATTTTTTACATCATTAGAAACGTGGTTTAACCTTTGTGAGCTTTGGTCTATATCAGTAAAATAATAATAATGCACACCTAAAAATCACTGTTGTGAAGTTTTGTCTAATAAAAACCTACATTTAGTAGTTCTCCTTTCTGGAAGCTGAAGTTTCTACTCTCAAGGAGGTGAGGTAACTCCAGAACTTTTGGTGCCAGTGTCCTCTAACAAGGCGAGATCCTAGATAGAAAATTCTGTGGACCTTCAGGTGGAGCTAATAGTAAATTGTTTAAGTAACGCCACCTTTCTGGCTCACCCTCTCTCTCTCCTTCCCCTTTTGGTTTTTCGGAACAGGCTTATTGGTGTGGACATGAGCTCAGAGATCTGCCTGCTTCTGCATACTGAGGGCCTCTATCATGCCTGCCTCTGGTTCTCTCGACTTTTTTTTTTTTTTTTAAAACTAAAGCATGGGTTGAATAAGCAAAAGAGACAAAAGATTAAATCGTTACACTATAGCTTCTGGGAGGGAGGGAGGGATATCAAGATGTCTACTTAACATCAGGCAATAAATGGAATAGTCATTTCTGAGAAATGGGAAAAAAAAAATTTGAGAATAGGGTCTTACTATATATTACCTTGGCTGGCCTGAAACTCTCTAGGTAGACCAGGCTAGTTTTGAATTCATAGAGATCTGTCTGCCTCTGCTTCTTGAGCGTTGGAATTAAAAGTATGTACCATCATACCCAATTGAGGAAAAAAACATTTTTTCATCAAACAAAATTATGATTATCCCAACATATTGTCTAGAGAAAGTATAGAAACCATGAGACAAGGAGAGGGAACCCAGGCAACAGGTAAGCAATGGGGCTGGGACCCAGGGCTGCTACTCAGTCTATTTGACACTGCTGTGGCAAATCTTTGAGAACAGGTCGCTTATTCGACTCAAACCTCTGGGGGTTAGAGAATCCAGACAGCATGGCACTGGCATCTAACGGAAAGGGAGTGAGAGAGGGGAGAAGACTTATCAGCTCCTGTGAGAGGCAACCATGTCCTACACCAGCAATAATGAAATAGGGTGGATGAATTATAATGATATATTTACTATTTTAAGATTTCCTTTTATTCCCTGTGTATCACTGTTTAGCCTGAATGTGTGTGTGTGTGTGTGTGTGTACACTGTAGGCATCAGTGCCAGAGGCTAGAAGACAGCACAGACCCCCTGAAACCAGAGGTACAGATGCTTGTGACCCTCCAAATTGAATCTTGGGAACCAAATCTGCATCTTCTACAAGATGCAGATTGCTTTTAACACTCTCCAGCTCCCCAAAGGTGATATATTTAAACTCTGCCATACAAAGTATTCTATTAAATGTATCTGGTTTAAACAACACAATTACCAAAGACAGACAAGCTGGGCGGAGTGGCTGGTGCATACCTATACTCCAAGCCACATGGAAGCTGCACAGAAAACCTCCAGGCCAAGGCCTAAGCTACACAGAGATCTCAATTCTGTTTTTTTGTGAGGGGTTTGTTTCTTTTATGTGTGTGAGCATTTGGTCCACATGTACACAAGAGGGCACCAGATATCATAGATGGTTGTGAGCCACCATGTGGGTACTGGGAATTGAACTCAGGTACTGGGAATTGAACTCAGGACCTCTAGAAGAGCAGCCGGTGCTCTTAACCACTGAGCCATCTCTCCTTTGTTTTTCTCAAGACGGGTTCTCTGTGTAGCTCTGGCTATACTGGAACTTGCTCTGTAGACCATGCTGGCCTCAAACTCACAGAGATCCGCCTGCCTCTTTAACACAAGTACTGGATTAAAGGTGTGTGCCACTACCACCCAGCAGGCTCTGAATTCTGATCCCCAGCACTCACATAAAAATGGGTGCAGTGGTGTATATCTGTAATCTCAGTGCTCTGGTAGAGACAGAGCCTCCAGGGACTTGCTGGCCAGGCAGCTACCTTCATGTTCAGTGAGAGAGCCTGTCTCAAAAACTAAGGTGGGGAGTGATAGAGGAAGAGACTGTCGCTCTATACACATGCACGAACAGACACATGTGCAGGAAAATACACACCGTATTAGCACAAAATAGAGCCAGACTGGCTATATCAGCATCACAGGAGATTTTACAGTAGAAAATACTGTGTGGGTTAAATAGGGTCATTTCAGGGCCAGCGAGATGGCTCAGGTGTAGAGGTTTTTGCTGAGAAAAATCTGGAGACCAGAGTTTGATTCCCATGTGGTAGTGTGAACTGTGGTAGTGTGTATCTTTATAATCTTAGCACTCTACAGCAAGATGGGAGGTAAAGGCAAGAGAATCAGCTGGAAGCTTGTGGATCAGCTAGCCTGGAGTACACAGCACAGCAGAGACAGCAAGAGAGACCCTGCATCAAAAACAAGGTGGAAGGAGAGAACTGAATCCACAGCCCACAATGTAGTCATCCAGCCCACATCCAGCTACAGCATCACTCACACATACACAATCATACACACAATAAAAAATAAGGAACAGAGAGAAGGTCATTTCATACTAATGAAGTCAGTTGGTCATCAAGACACAGTAGATGCTCAACTTACAACTGGATTACCTTACAGTGACCCATCATAAGTTAAAATCATAACTAAAATTTCATTTAATACATCTAGCTTGCATGTGTTCAGACACAACAGCTTCCATCTGGGGAAAAAAACCATCTAAACACAAACATCTAAACAAAGCCAATTTTACACAATAGCTCATGGGAGATTTTAAATGCTATTCTGAAAGTTAGGGGTGGGGGGAGCCAGGTAGGTGCATGCCTTTAATCCCAGTGGAGGCATGCAGATCTCTGAGTTCCAAGACAGCCTGGTGTACAGAGTGAGTTCAGGATAGCCAGAAATACACAGATAAATCTCTGTCTCAAAAGGGGGCATGGGGAGAAGAAGGAAGAGGGCGAGGGGAAGTCCACAAAGATCATGTTAAGCCAAGAACCCATGCCAAACCAGCATAATGCAGGGACGGTATAGGCCTGAACACGCACAGACCTTTTAAGAAGGCTTTAAAATACAGGAAGCAAAACAGAGAAACTCTTAAGTACAAGGAGCTAAATCCAAGGTATGCCTGGAAATTTCAACATACTTCTCGCAATAATTGATAGGACAGCTAGACAGAAAATCAGTAAGTCTGTATAAGTTTTTAACAGTGCTGTCAATCAATGTGACCTGATGTTCATAAAAACACTTTGTCCAACCATGGAAGAATAGAGTACCTTTCATGCACACAGGATAAAGCATATTCCAGCCATTGGAGATCACTATGTCTGAGAAAGATTATATTCTGGGCAGTATCAGAATAGACCATGTTCCCAGACATTAGCTATCTCTCAATATATCTAAACTTATTTAAAGTCACACAAATGTAAACTTTACTTGTGTGGCAGTCAGGGGACAACATGCAGAAGCTGTTCCTCTGTCCATGTGTGTTCCAGGGATTGAACTTGGGTACTCAGGACTGGCGAGTGCCTTCACCCAGTGACTCATCTTGCTCTGAAGTACTTGGTGTGTGTTTGTTGACATTTATTTGTGACACTTGCCACACTTCTACATATGTAGAAATCAGAGAGATAACTGGCAGGGATCTGTCCTCTCCGATCATGTGGGCTCAAAATATGGCACTCAGGTTATCAGGCCTGGTGGCAAACTCTTTACCCACTGAGCCAAGCCATATCCCCAGCCTCTGGAGTATGCTTTAACCACATTAGAATTACTAAAATAAACTAGGCATGGTAGTGCATGCCTTTAATCCCAGAAGTAGAAGCAGTCGGATCTCTGTAAGTTCAAGGCCAGCCTGATCTACAGAGTGAGTTCCAGGATAGTCAAGGCTACACAGAGAAACCCTGTCTCCAAAATAAAAAACAAAGAATTACTGAAATATGACAGAAAAATATCTAAAGGAGTCCAAAGTAGTTAGAAAATAAATGATAAATGAGGTTAAACATGAAGTGTTTCAAGAAAAGTTGAAGTATTTTAATTAAATGAAAATGCAAATGGAATTTATGGACTATATCTAATGTTTTATTGCCTGGAGGGGACAGTTTCAACACAGCAGCCTTGCCTTCCAGTGGTCCTACAAAATGAGAAGAGCAAGCTGTACAAATGGAGAAAATGAGATGATAAAAAGCCAAGTGGAGGGCCTGGAGAGATGGCTCAGAGGTTAGGAGCACTGGCTGCTCTTCCAGAGGTCCTGAGTTCAATTCCTAGTACCACATGGTGGCTCACAACCATCTATAATGAGATCTGGTGCCCTCTTCTGGCCTACAAGTATACGTGCAGATAGAACACTATATACATAATAAGCAAATCTAAAAAAAAAAAAAAAAAAAAAAAGCCAGGTGGAGATTAATAGGAAATAAAGAAAACCACTGAAACTAAAAGGTATAATGTGTTGAGAATATCAATAAAAGTGTAACCAGAATAAAAGAGAAGGGTTCGTGTGGTACACACCTGTAATCCTAGTACTCAGGAGGGTGGGGCAGGGACATGAGAGTCTAAGGCAGGCCTGGGCTACATAGTGAGTTCAAGACCAGATTGAGTTGCCTTTTCTCAGATTTTTTTTTCTTTTAAACAATAAGCTGCCAAGCGGTGGTGGCACACACCCTTGATCCCAGGCAGAAGCAGGTGGATCTCTGTGAGTTTCAGGCCAGCCTGGTCTACAGATTGAGTCTAGGATAGACAGGGCTACACAAAACAAAACAAAGCTACTATCAGAAATTAGAAATGTAGCATCTGATTTTTGTTTGTTTTCTCTGTGTAGTCCTGTCTGTCCTGGACTTGATCTTTGGACCAGGCTGGCCTCAGATTCACAGAGATCCACCTGCCTCTGCCTCCCAAGTGCTGGACTTAAAGGCATGAGCCACCACTGCCTGACATGGTATCTGATATTTTTAAAAGTACTTATCAGGAGGGTATTTTTGGCAGTACATTTGACAAATGATGAAAAAGGCAATTTACTAAAAGTAAATACCCTTGTGGCACAGGATAGCCTTGTATCTATGGAAGAAACTGGATTTCTCGTTTGAAAATAAATACAGGCTTTAGGATATATTTAAAATTTTCTTTATAGAAACTCTTAAAATTCAGTAAGTGAACACAAGCTTAAGAAAAGTGCTCATACAAAACATATGAACCGCAAATAAAATTCATACACTCATCAAATAAACCCCACAGATTTGGGGAATAAAAAGGCCAATGTGCCCGTAGTCCTTGCTCTGGCAGCTGAGGTAGCCCAGGCCCAACCCGGACAATCTGATGAACCCTGCCTTTAAGGGGGGTAGGGTAGGTAACAAGTCCTTTGGAAGCAACCCGTTGTTTGTTTTGTTTTGTTTTGAAGTTACAGATATACCTTCCTGATGTAGCTACCCCACTATGTGACACAGAAACTATTTCATCCATGTTCATAGTTCTTTTGTCAGAACCTCAGGTCGGGAACAATCTTGTGTCAAGGTTTGTGGATAGGCAGTTTGATGATATATATGGTGGGATACTGTTCAGCCATAAAGGCAATCAGCTGATTCACACATGATCCCTTGGCACTAGAGTTACAGGTGGATGTGAGATGCCAGAAGCCAAACCCCTGCCCTCTCCGAGTAGCGAGTGCTCTTAAATACTGTGCCATCTCCAGCCCGTCAAACTGCATTTCATCATTCACTTCCTAAAATAATCTGAATAGACCTTCTAAAAGAACAGGACCTTCAGCATGCCCTCTGCATTTGCTCTCCCCCTTGTACCTCTTTTTACCTAACTGGATGGGGAATGTTGGTGCTTGGTCATGGAAGGATCTTGGGATTTCTTGGATTTGCTTCCTTCTCTTTATCGGGGTGGGGCAGCCCACAAAATGCTGAGCCCTGTAAATCCTTTCTTCACAACTTCCGTCCTACCTGTCTGCAGCCCTCAGCTGGCTCACTGGTTCTCGCCAAGTTGGAGAGCCAATGGCCACACCTCAAGCATGTAAGGCTGCTAACTACTACTTAGTTTCCTAGAGATGCCGTAAGACAGTACCAAAAACCTAGTGACTTTAAAACACCATTCTGTCATAGTTCTGGAGGCCAGAATCCAAAATCAAGGTGTGAGCAGGGCTGCGTTTCTTTCAGAGACCCTGAGAGAGAATCCATCCTGCCTCTCTGGTTGCCTGGCTTGTGGCCTCCATAACTCATTTCTATCTTCATCGTCACCTAGCCTTTCTCTACCCAACTGTTTCTCGGATTTAGGAGGGCCTGCCATGAATCCATCTTGCAGTATGGTCCTATCTCTGAATCCTTAATTATATCTGCAAAGACCCTTTCTCCAAATAACCTCACATTCACAGGCTCTTGGTGTTAGGATGGACAACGTGGAGCACAATCCAGTTCACTACAACCAGGCGCATCTTGAGGGTGCAGCAAAAGCCATCATTAGGACCCGGGGAGTCCCCTCAGCATCTAGGGTATTTCTGTTTCTGAAGCTCTTTTGCTCAGACCTCTCTGACATCTCAGTGAGATCTGAAAAGACTCGATCTGACCTCTTTATCCCTTTTTGCTCCAGTGGTGGCTCATGGTCTCAGGGCCACCCATAGCCCACTATGGGTGGCTAGTGAACTCAAGATCTTGGAAGAAAGGAGGATTTACAGATCACCTAATTTGTATTTCCACTTCAGTATCAACAAAAATGTTCTGAGTTAGGTCATTATTTTCCATGTTATAGATAAGGTAACTAAAACTTAACACTTGCTGGTCACACAGCTGGTAACTGGCAGGGCTTCAAAGCCTGATCTCTTGTGTCTTTGTAGGCTGAGTGACCAGCAAGGGAGTGAGTGCACACAGATCATTGTCATCACTCCTTCCCTCTAGACCAACTCATTGGTGGCATAATAGTGGCACCTAGTGGCTTCAGCTACAAGCTACATGATCGAGGCAATAGGTCAAATTCCTTTGCTTTGGCTTTTTTCTGTTGTTTGGTTGGGTTTTTTGGTTTTTGTTTCTATTTTAACTATCCAACTCACCGGATACAGAATTAGCTCATCTATAGTTTAAGGAGACATAAACAGTTCTCTAAGGAAAGGTTTGGTTTCCTAGGGTGCAGACAAGAATTGAATGCTCCACAATGTTAATCCAGTGAGCTGTATCTGGAAGACGAGGCTGCCTCTCTCTGGGGACCTAGATACTGCAGGGTTCTCAGAGCGCAGCTGCCCATTCGGGTGGGTCATCCTTCTGTCAAGACCAGTTTCCAGAAGGAAACACCAGACTTGAATGCAACAGCACTGTTTCCTGAGGGCTGTCTTTGCCACTGTGTGGTCCTCAGAATGCAACTACTTACAAGTTGGAACTTGTATTAGCAGCAGTGTAGGCCAGGTGTCAGATCTGGGTATCCCGGGAGACCCTGTGGGACCCGTCCCTCGGAAATGAGAAATGGCTGTGACTGCAGCGCTACCATAACATAAAAAAGGTTTAGTGAGGAGGCCAGGTGCGGCAGCTCACACCTTTAATCCCAGCATTTGGAAGGCAAGAGGCCAGCCTGGACTATATAGGGAGTTCTAAGACAGCCAAAGATATGCAGTGAAACTCTCTTCAAGGAAAAAGAAAGAAAGGCAGTTTATTACAGAATGCATTGTGCTGTGGGATAATTCTTACCTATGTTTTACCATTCTTAAGTGTCAACTCAATGCTTTTAAGGATACTCACTGTGCTGTTCCTCCCACCAAACTCCAGAGTCTCCATCACACGGAACAAGCACTGTGCCTGCAGATAACCCAGCTTCCCTCTCCCGAAAACCCCAGCCCACCTTCTATTCTTTTTTATTTTTCACTTTTCCCTTGGTGTTGTTTGAAGTAGACATTACAGGTGGGGGATTTGTTGCTTGAGACAGGGTCTCACTGTGTATCTGAGGATGGCCCTTATCCTCCTATGTAGCTGGAAATGATCTTGAACCCCTGATCATTCTGCCTCCCTCTCTGAGTGCTGGGATTACATGTGTGCTGCTATGTCATTGTATATAGCGCTAGGGGTTGCGCCTGGAGCTTTCATGCACTTTTTGAGCTATGAAAGTACTCATTTCCATCTTTCTTAAAGATGTATTTTTAATTATGTGTATATGTATATAGAGACAGATGATCAGATATTCAAGGTCAGCCCTGGGATATATGAGACCCATTCTCAAACATTTTGTTTATCTTAAAATAAGACATGGCCAGGCATTGGGGTGTATGCCTTTAATCCTAGCACATGGGAAGCAAAGGCAGGAAGAGCTCTGCAAGTTCAAGTGCAGCCTGGTCTACATATTGTGTTCTAGCCAGGACTAAATAAATAAACAGAGCCTGGAGAAAGGGCTATGTTTAAGAGGGATCATGCTGCTACTGCAGCAGACCCAGCACTGATACCAGGCAGGTCATAAAAGTATAACTCCAAAGCCAGAGGATCTGACTCCCTCTCCCGGCCTCCTACACGTACGTATATAGACATGTAATTCATACAGATATACGTAATAAATCTTGAGTAGAAAGATGGACACATATATGGTTAATAGTGCCATACTTCAGAGCCTGAGGGGAGGCAGACCACAGGCAAGGATCTGAAGTTCAGGACAGAACAGATATGCTGGGAAACGGTTAGAGTGTGAGGGGCACAAGGTCCACAGGAGGATGCTTTGAAGCTTGGAGACCAAGTAGAAACTGATGAGGAAGGAGGAAGAGGAAGTTCAAAGTGAAGCTCGTCCCTGTAAACCAAGCTTCATTAGGCTCAGACTTGTGCAAAACTCACTTGGAATTTCTAATTGTTAAAGCGCCTGGCCCCAGAGAAAAAGAATTCAGCCCAGAGCGCCGAAGCCTGGCACAAGAGTCCTGGTCTGGAGTGCCTTGCAGGTAAGGCTTAGCTCTTTGGGTAAACCCTGGACTGACACAGAGGAGTAAAAATCATGGCGTGGAAGGGTCCCACTATTCCACTCCACTTTAGCTGTGCTGCCACCTGCTGGGATGCCGTTGCTTTCACAGCGACTGTGCGTCTTGAGCAGCATCAGCATGTATTCCTAGGAATACATTCTTGATAGGAATATGTGCCTTGGACTTATTAGCATGTGCACGTTAGCTTTTCCAGAGAAAAGTGCATTCGTTGACCAACCTCCCCAGGAACCTGCTCAGGAGGAAATTGCTAAGGCCAAGACGCTGTAAATTCGTACCTCAGGGGCTCAAGATGTAGCTCAGTGACAGAGTGCTTGCCTCCTTGCCAACACCCAGTTGATCCCCCTCCCTTTTTGTTCTTCCACAAGCGAATCTGTTATCATAAGCTAACAGTGGCTTTCAACCTTCCCTAAAGCTGCCACCCTTTAATACAGTTCCTCATTTTGGGGTAACGCTCAGCCATAAAATTCTTTTTGTTGCTACTTCATAACTATGATTTTGCCACTGTTATGAATAATTCATAAATCATAAATATCTGGCATGCGGCCCACAGGTTGAGAACCGCTGAGCTAAAGCACGTTGACGAGTGTCTAGAATCCCAGCACTTGGATGGTAGAGGCAGGATGATCAGTTTAAGGCCAACCTGGGTTACATGCGTCTGTGTAAACATCAGCAACTAAAGGCTGCCTTTGTAGCAACTGCTAGTACAACCTCAGGCAGAGACTGAGTTGTCTTTTGCCCTAAGCAATAAAAGCTTGGTTTCAAACAGGACCACCCTGGAATGCATGTCACCCTGACAATCTGTGCGGAAAGTTACAGGTGCCCCCTGTCAAGGTCCAGCTAAAGAGGGGAGGGAGGAGACACTACGGAAGGTCAAGCGCTGAGAGGTTGTCATCTGGAAGTTAATTTAGAACTGTGCCCATGCCCAGCGTCCCAGCCCCAAGAATCTCCGGGCACAAAGTTTCGGAAGCAAGACGAAACGGGCTTATTTTCTCCTAGAAACCAGCGGGCAAGCAGAAAACAAGAGGCTCAAGAGGAGCGACCCCAACCAGGGCAGGGAAGAATCGCGAGCTCTGCACCCCGCCAGGAACCTGAGCCCGCAAGAGTCTGCCGCGCGCCGCCGCGAGCCCACCGAGGCCTCCCTCCCTGACGGAGGCTCGCAGAGCCGGGCGGCCCACGGCAGGGCCCAGGCGCCACACGCAGCGAGCCCCGCGGGCGGCCTGGAGGTACCGCGGCGAGCCCTGGGCGGGTGCGGGCCTGAGGGCTGCCGTCGGGTCCTCACCACGGCCTCCTCTGCTCCGCAGGACCTGTGGCTGCGGGAGGTCTCCAATCTGTCCGAGTGGCTAAGTCCGGGACACTGGGCCTAAGCGTCCGCTGCTGAGGGTCGCAGCGAGGCACGGACGCCCGGGACCCGCGTGTCGCGCCTCCCATGGTTCAATAAAGCTGCTCCAAGCACCCCGTGTCGACTACAGTACGAGGGGAGGGGCGCCGGGGGGGCGGGGAGACGGCTGCTCGCGCCGCCGCCTGACGTCATCCGCGCAGCCGCGTCACTGCTGCGCGCCACGGGTCCGGGCGTGATGGCGGCGCTGGGCGGGGACGGGCTGCGTCTACTGTCGGTGTCGCGGCCGGAGCGGCAGCCCGAGTCAGCCGCGCTGAGCGGCCCGGGCCCGGGGCTGTGCTGCTGGGTGTCCGTGTTCTCCTGCTTCAGCCTCGCCTGCTCCTACGTGGGCAGCCTCTACGTGTGGAAGAGCGAGCTGCCCAGGTGCGGGGGCTGCGCGCGGCCGGAATCCGCGCCCTCGTGAGGCGGGGCTGCGGGCGGAGCTTGGGCGGACCGGGGAGGGGCCGCGTTGGCAGGTGGTTGCTACAGACCCCCGGAGCTTACTGTCCGCCCTCCTAGGGACCACCCTGCCGTCATCAAGCGGCGTTTCACCAGTGTCCTGGTAGTCTCCAGTCTCTCCCCTCTTTGCGTGCTACTCTGGAGGGAACTCACGGGCATCCAGGTGCGAAGGAGGCGGGGCCCAGGGCAACCCGGGAAAGAATGCAGATTCTTGTGGGAGGGAACATCACTGATGCCCCCTTTCCTCTGGCTCAGCCAGGCACATCACTGCTCACCTTGATGGGCTTCAGGCTGGAGGGCATTTTCCCAGCAGCTCTGCTGCCCCTGCTGCTAACTATGGTGAGTCCTGCTTTATTTTCCCCACTCTGTTGTCATTAGTGTAATGACCTGCCCTTCTTGTGTCCAGCTTTTGGCGGATGGCAGACAGGAATTATGATGTGGCCCTCAAGCCCCTGGTGTGTATAGCTGGGAAATCCTAGAACTCAGGAAACCTGAGGTTTCGTGAGGCTGACCAAGGGCACAGGTGTGAACAAGGTCATTGGATTGTGGTGAAAATCTTTCATTGGATCTGTTTTTCTACCCGCAGATCCTTTTCCTGGGTCCACTGATGCAGCTCTCTATGGATTGCCCGTGTGACCTGACAGATGGGCTGAAGGTTGTCCTGGGTGAGTCTTCAAGACTGAGGAAAAGGTAGGCACAGGCAGTCCAGGACGCTGGGGAAAGGAGTCAGTGAGATGGTGTGATCTGGACTGAAGAGGTGAGATGTCACCTCCTCAATAAAATAGGATTTTAGTGCTGGCTATCTTGTCAATTTATGATACTAGAGCAGGTTTTTTTCAGGACCCAACACAGTACCTGATATGGGGCCAGACAGCACCTTCCCCTGCTTTTCCATCCTTTGGCTTCCCCAAAGATTGGTCTTGGTTTTTTTGGTGCCTCCAGAATTTGCTATGGCTCCCTCATCTACTCTTGCCTTTCCTTACTGTTGTCAGTTATCTCAAGACAGTGTCATTTGGAGTAATAAGGTTTATTCCTTGCCCCATTCCGAGTCTCAGGATTTCCTGACCCGAGTTCGGCCAGAGTAAATCTGTGGCAGAGGGCCCCAGGAGTGTCAGTTTTTAACAACTAGACACTCATTGCTTATCCTGAATATTCACCCTAGCCCCCCGTTCTTGGGCCCGCTGCCTCACAGACATGCGCTGGCTACGAAACCAAGTCATCGCACCCTTGACAGAGGAACTGGTATTCCGGGCTTGTATGCTGCCCATGCTAGCACCATGCACAGGTCTGGGCCCTGCTGTGTTTACCTGCCCACTTTTTTTTGGAGTTGGTGAGTCTGTCTAACCGCCCCAGCGAAGATGTTCCCAGCATGAGGGCTAAAAATGGGATATAGGAGGAGGAGGGAGGCTAGATAGAAAGCTGGGGGATATGATGTGGTTTTCACCTTCCTTCCAGCCCATTTTCACCACATTATTGAGCAGCTGCGCTTCCGCCAAAGCAGTGTGGGGAGTATCTTCTTGTCTGCAGGTGAGGCCTGGAGAGATGCCCAGGAACAGTCATGGGTTGGGATGTTCTGATATCCCTGAGGACACTCTACAGAAAGGGCTGGAGACAGACGCCTATAAGTATTGGGTGGGGACCACTGACTCTGGGAGGTGGAGTACAGAGAACAGCCATAGGTCATGGCAGCCACTGCCAAGGGGAGAGAGGGGTCCCTGGCTGTGGGATGTGCAGTTCTGGGGCAGGGTGGGCATGCAGGTGTGGTCACTCGAAGCCTCCATCTCCAGCGTTCCAGTTCTCCTACACAGCTGTCTTCGGTGCTTACACGGCTTTCCTCTTCATCCGCACAGGTTGGTCCTCGGCCTATCATGGGTCTCCAGGGGCCCCCAAATGTGGGTGGGAGAAGGGTAATACTGTAGATATAGCAGAGTTTCTTCAGCCACAGTCCTGGAGACAGGCTAAGCTAGGGCCCTCAGCTTTTTAAGGACTGAGAGGTCAGGACATGAGGCAGGTGACAGTGCGGGGTAGGGGGTCATTGAGTTCCTGTTCAGGGGACAAGGGTAGCTCTAGAAGGGCCAGTGGCGGGGGGGGGGCTGCTTCATACATTATACCATCTCCCCTCCAGGACACCTGATAGGCCCGGTTCTCTGCCATTCTTTCTGCAACTACATGGGTTTCCCTGCTGTGTGTGCAGCCCTGGAGCATCCACAGAAGTGGCCATTGCTGGCAGGCTATGCCCTTGGCGTGGGACTCTTCCTGCTTTTGCTTCAGCCCCTGACAGACCCCAAGCTCTATGGCAGCCTTCCCCTCTGCGTGCTTTTGGAACGAACGGGGGCCTCAGAGACCTTACTGTGCTCCTGACCGTCACTCTTGTGTGCACTCATGTGAACTCTGACGGGCTCTCCAGCTCCTCCTTGTCAAGGAATACTGCAAGGGAGGGGCTGGCTGGGGTCCCCGAGATCTCAGGAATTTTTGTAGGGGATTGAAGCCAGAGCTAGTTGAATCCCAGGGACCAAGAGAAAGTTGCAGATATCCAAAGGGCGCAGCCCCTTTCAAAGGGGGATTGAGCAGCAGGAAGTGGGGGGACAAGGGCAGACCCTAGGAGCTGTGCACTCCCTTTCTGGACTGCTGCTTCTCCAGCTCCTTTGCTGCCCACCCCCTTCTGAAAAGCTGCTCCAGTGGGTTTATTTATAAAACCCCTCCTCCCAACTTCCAGGGTTTTCTCATTGTCTTTTTGCATCAAGACTTTGTATTGGGATATTAAAGAGATTTAACTTGGGTAACATGGTGTTGGACCTTTGGGAATCCACGTACTTGGGTCTTGGTAAGGGCTGGAGGCAGCACTTGGGAGTATGTGCACTATCCTGGCTACCCTGAGCAATGCTGACCTGGGCAGCCGAGCCTGGCAAGCAGATCCCAACAGTGAAGGATCGGGTGGTGCCTTCAGCTGCCCAGACTGTGGCTTACTCTTTCTGAGTAGCAGGTACCAGGTAGAAACCCATCATCTCATCCAAGGTGGGGCTACAACTTGGCTACAAGATCAAGGAATTCCCACTGCTCTACCCCCAACAGTGGAGCTTCCTGCCGAGTCATGTGAGGATGGAGGGTGGTGCCAGAGCCTGGCTCTACGTGGACTGCTCTCCGTCTCAGTCTCTGGAGGAACCCAGGACAAAGGTCACAGCCCGGAGAGTGGCAAGGGCTCTATGCAGCAACTCCAGGTTCCTCAGGCCTCTAGTCTACCCGCTCACTGCACTTCTAGATGGTTTTTGTTTTCCTTTGCTCTTTAAACAATTTGCAAATATCCCTTTAGGTCCCCTACATTCAAGGTTGTTCTGAAGCTGGTGACTGGGGAGAGACATGGACCGGTGATCATTCCCCATTGACACCCTGCCCCCAAGGCTGGCTGTGACATAGCCACACTCACGAAGCTGTAAAGGGGAGTATCCAAGTCATACACCTGCCTCCTGGGGAGCTCTTGCCTCCCCAGCCTGTGTGGAAGCTGGTGGCTGGGAGGTGAGGCGTTAGGTAGGAAGTGGCCTGTAAAAAATACATTTAGGTCGTAGGGTGTCAGTACCCGAGAACATCAGGCAGATAGGCTGCAGGGTCTAATTTGCTGAGGTCCAGGAAGGTTGAAAAAAAAAAAAAAAAAGTAAAAAGCAGATCTGACCTAGATCCCATGGGTGTTTGGGAGAAGCTCCACCCTCCCTGCCTCGAGGCTGGGGGCAGCATTAGGGGTGGGGTATTTGTACACAACCTAGTGTGGAGGGCAAGGGAAGGCCACTTTTATTGAGCAAATTTCCCAGGACCTGCAAATTAGGTCTTCCTCCTACCCCCAGAGGTAGACCCCCTAAACCACCTCCCCGGGTACGAGGCCACCTTACGCATGTACTCTCCTACAAGGAGCAGACCCTTATTTGGCAAGAGATGAATATGTGAGCAACTGCCTGCCGGTAAGGAGAGGACAGACGGCTGAAGGGAATGGGCCATTGCAAGTAGTGTGTGCTGTTCCATGGGACAGGACCTCAGGGGCCTGGCCTTCCTGCTCTCAGGCCCTGGCTGGCTGGGCCTGCCCTGGCTGCACAGCTTCTGTGGGGAGGCTTGGGGTAGGGTTGGCTGGGCTTCCAGTCTGGAGCAAGATCACTCCATCTCTAAGATGAGGTCATCGCCTTCCAGCGTCATGTCCTTGGTCACATGAACTTTGCGGATAGTGCCCTCGATGGGCGAAGTCACCACAGTCTCCATCTTCATGGCGCTGAGCACACAGAGGGGCTGGCCCTTAACCACCTTGGTTCCTGCTTCCACCTTGATGTCTATGACCTTCCCGGGCATAGGGGCCCCAATTTGTCCCTTCACATCCTTCAGAGCCTTGGGGTGGAAGTGCATCTCCTACAGAGAGGACAGATGACATGAGATAGCAGGTCAGGCCCACTCCTACCACCTGGCTGGCCCCGACCTGACAGCACTGTACCTTCATGGCCTGGGTGTCCTTAACCAAAATTGACCGAAGCTGCCCATTGAGTTCAAAGAAAACCTGCCTCTGGCCAGCCCGGTTCAGGTCACTCACAGCCAGGGCTTTGATGTGCAGTGTCTTGCCCCGTTCCAGTTCCACCTGCAGAAGAGGTTCGAGATGAGAGCTGGGGAGAGTGTCGGGAAAACAGGCCCTGAATCCCAGTTCTCCTGTGTAAAGTCGTAGCCACTGGCCACACAGGACCACTTCTGCTCTACAGCTCACAGGGCTGTGAGAACCAAGTTTGGAGGCTGTTTGCCGGGGTGATGTAGTCTTTGGGGCTGAGTGAAGACAAGTGTAAGAACCACTGACCTCAAACTCCTCTGCAAGTTTGGGTCCTTGAAGAAAGAGGCGGGTGTTGAGGCTATCCAGGGGGCCAAAGGTGGCCGTGAAGTCTTTGAATTGGGCAAAGACATCAGGGTACATGGCTGCAGAGAGGACGTCCTCTGGGGTCACTTCCTCCCCATGCCTCTCAATCAGGTGCTTCTCCAGCTCCTGCAGGTTCAGAGGCGGGAAGGAGGCTCCAGGCCGGCCCTCTATTCTTGGAAGGTCCTTTAGCACCTGAGGAGCAAAGCAGAGGGTCAGGCAGTATTCTGGAAGTCAGTCCCCACTGCATCCAGGAGGCACCTTCCCTACCTTGGAGCGAAAGGGCTCGGGGAAACCCCCGTGAGGAATGCCGATGTAGCCCTGCAGGAACTCCACCACAGACCGGGGGAAGGACAGCTCTTCTGCCTGAGCTTCAACCTCTGCCCGGCTCAGCCCATTCTGCACCATGAACTGGGCCAGGTCCCCCACAATCTTGGAGGATGGCGTAACCTGGAAAGATCTCTGGTAAGGAGCAGGCTGGGCCCAGAACAGAAGTGCAGTGTGCAGGCCGTTACGTGAGGGCCTTGCTCACCTTGATGAGGTCCCCCAGCATCTGGTTAGCCTCCACGTAGGCTTTCTTGACCTCCTTGAACTTGGAGCCAAGTCCCATGCTGTGGGCCTGGAAGTGTAGGTTGGTGTACTGGCCCCCTGGGATCTCATTCTCATACACGTCTGAGTTGCCAGACTTCATGGTTGCCGTGCAATCGAAAGCTGCGTACAGTCCCCGCGCTCCTTCCCAGTACTCACTGTAGTCAAACACACGCTCCATGGGCACCTCTGCGGGGAACCTGGAGTCAGGAGCGCTTGGCAATGTGCCATTGCTCCCAGGGGTAGCTTCCAGGATGGGAGGCCAGGCCAGAAGGAGGCATCTGGATTCTGTGTCCCAGACTCTGCTGGGATTATTCACAACTACAGGCCATGGGCTGTTCTAGCCTACCTGTGTCCAGTGGAGTCCCTTTGGTACAGGCCACCAGGGCCCCCATGCTGGGCTGTGAGGTCATCCCAGACATGGCGTCTGCTGCTACATCCACAACATCAGCCCCAGCTTGTGCGCAGGCCAGCATGGCTGCCACACCTGCCCCTGATGTGTCATGGGTGTGGATGTGCAATGGGAGGTCGGGGAATCGGTCTCGGAGGGAGCTGACCAGCATGGTGCAGGCTGCAGGCTTTAGCAGGCCTGCCATGTCCTGAAAAGTGAAGAAGAGAAGGAAATATGGTAAGGAGGGACCCAATGTGTTCCTGCGTTGCGGGTCATGGTGGGCATGGTGGGAGGGGGAAAGGAAGAGATGGGCAAGAGGCCCTGGCACCTTAATGCACAGGATGTGGGTGCCGGCTCGCACCAGTTCTTCAGCTAAGCCCATGTAGTACTCCAGCGAGTATTTAGTGCGACTGGGGTCGGCCACATCACCCGTGTATGAGATGGCAGCCTCCACCACGGCCCCAGCACTGCCTGCTGCTTCCATGCCCAGCAGCATATTTGGCAAGTAGTTGAGGGAGTCAAAGATTCGGAAGATGTCCATACCGTTTTCTTTGGCCACCTCACAGAACCTGGCAGGGGAGAAGACAGGTGAGTCCTACCTGACTCCCTCCCTTCTCTAGCTCCTGGCCTCTAGCAAATGAAGTCTGGCCTGGCAGAGGAGTGGGGGCTTCAAAGTGTGAACACCGCCTTTTCCAGCGCAGCCTGGGCCAGGAGGTGACTGGCAAGAGCTGTCCAGCCTGACTGAGCCTGGAGGTTTAGGAAGACTCTTAGCGAAGGAGTGGTGGCTGAGGGGAGAACACTGAGCAGAGCCCTAAGGCCCAGATTCCAACCCCCATTCCGTGCTGTGAGTCCCGTGACAAGTCATCTCCCTCAGTGTCTGTTGCCGCAGAGATCCAGAAGCTCTGCCCTCTCCATCTCTGCCATTTTGTTTGGTCCCCATAACATGAAGTCAAAGACCCTCTAGAGCCCACCGCTGTGTGGTCCCAGCCGACCCAGGCTCACTTGAAGACCACGTTGTCAGGGTAGTTGGTATAGCCCACGGCATTGGCCCCCCGCAGCAGCATCTGGAATGGGATGTTGGGGATGAGCTCCCGGAGTTCCTGAAGCCGCCGCCAGGGGCATTCGTATAAGAAGCGCATGGCAACATCAAATGTGGCTCCTGCACAGAAAGGAGAGATGGTTACTCCATGTCGTGAGGACCCCACGGGGCCCTGCAGCTGTGTAGCCTGCACACTTCCTGGTTCCACATGTTCCCAGCATCAGAGCTGCCAGCCTCCCCCTCCACTGGCGGCCCCTGCATCCCAGCTCTGCAGCCTCAAGCCTGGTGCCCTTCCAGAAGGAGCTCGCTTAGTTGGTGTCTGTGGGACGAACCCACCTCACTGTCAGCATCTCTGTCCCTAGCGTCCCGAGCCCTCTGGGTTGGTCACTCGGTTCCCGCCAGCACCGTAGCCGGCCCCCCTCTGGCTACCTCCCCAGCTCTCCACCGTCTACCACCCGGCCCCCCTCTGGCTACCTCCCCAGTTCTCTATGCTGAAGAGTTTGCTGAAGCTGTGGGCAACATAAGGCGCAATCTTCTTGAGATCGTGCGTGCGCACTCGAGTGGCCAGTAGTGACTGGTGGGCATCCCGGAATGTCGTGTCCATCAGCAGCAGCCCCGGGTGGTTCCGCACGGCTCGGGCAAAGCCCTCTGGCCCCTCTCTCAGAAGGATGTCTCTGAAGCCAGTTGGGGGTGGGCCTATGGTAGACAAGAGCATCAGTGCCCAGCCTGCAGGTAGCAACTTCCCATTATCCCCTTGAGGTGGTAAAAATGGATCTCATCTACCTATGGGCACTGCAGGAACAACAGGGTCCACAGGGCTAGGACTGGCCTTGACAGGAATTGGAGTAGTAGGACCATTCACCATGACATGTCCTGGGGAGAAAGTGG